GTATTGAGTTTACTTGCCCAATATTGTACAATTAAAGATTCAAAAGTGTTCACAATTCATTGGTAGGGCACTGTATAACCTACAGACTTCATATATTTACAAATTGTACGATATGAAACTCTTATATTACGTGCTTCCAATTTGTTAGCTATTTTATGTACAGATATTGTGTTGTTCTTTCGAATATACTGACCTATAATTTTTGCAATGTTTTTGGTGATCTTGTTTGCTCGACCATTTCCACCTTTGTGATCAATACTTCCAGCTTCCACTATTTTTTTTACATTGTACCGAATAGTTGAGGGGGTAACTTCATAAGCCTACACAATTCTGACACGGAGCGCACACCGGTATTCCAGAAGTGTAATAAACTTTTTTTTTTCGTTTCTATTGCTATTGGAGACATTAAAATCGTCGGTTACTCAAAAGTAAACAAGGTTGTATGAATTTTTAGCCACTGTTTTTTTTAATGTGAATCTATTCTTTATTTAGTTTTAAAGTCACGCAGATTAGTCTAAAAATAACAAAGTTTTATATATATCAATTGATCGCTTTAAATTGACAAGTTTTTTTGTCACAAACTATATATATATTTTTTAAGGTTAAATGGCATTAGATACAAATTTTTATTAGGATTCAATATTACTTATTATATCAAACATCCTTTGTAATACATGACTACAATTAAATACTAGCTTATTAACTTTTTTTAGTTCGTATCTAATGAGACAGGTTACACTCTTAAAGTGGCCCACCTTATTGGCCTTTTAGTTTAATCAATACTACTAGTAACAAGGATAAGGAAAATCTTGTCTTTACAAGTAAAAACCTTTCCAGCAGTCTCCATTTCAGCTTAATGGCCCTACTCTTTCTTCAATGGGCCACCGATCCAGATTGTGCCAACTTTTAGCAGGTTATAGGGCTATATAAGTACAGAATAGCCATTTTTGAAGTGATTAATTCAATATATCCTAGTTATATTCTTTTGTGTGACTTTTATTGACTAGGATTAATCTATATATAAACAAACGGGATTGGTTAAGATGGAGTACAGCCCAGTCTGTACATCCAAATTTGATGTTGTGTTTTGTATAATGTATTGTGGAGTTTAACTAGAATTAGACCAGAAGTCTTTCTTCATACAATTCTTTTCTTATATGGTCTGTTGCAACCCTGTAACCACCAGAAAAACCAGAAGTCCTACCTTCATGCAGCCTAATTAAGAAGAAATTGTGATAAATTTTTGTAACCAGGTGAATTTGAACCCTAGACCTTCACCTGGTGACCTATGGAGCTTTACTACTGAGCTATAGATCCATAGGTCTTAAAATAAGTTTATATTTTTAACATAGCATATATTTATTATGTATAAAAATAATATAACTCAAACATATATATAAAGTTTTCAGTTTCACCTAGGAATTGATAGATTTGAACTTTTATTTTATTAAATAAATAAATTAGCTTTTACAAAAACAAATTATTATTATCTGGTAGTTGAGCAAGTTTGGATGTACAGATTGGGCTGTACTCCATTCTAATCCAATCCCGTTTATCTCTGTCACTGTTAACCATCAAGTAAGGAGGCTTTGATGAAATCACACTATCGCCACCCCTTCTGTGGATAAGG